ATATGTTTACTACAAACAACAGTTTGTCAATGGTGTGCATCGTTTATTAGATTTTTTCAATAGTGACGGTACAATGATGAACTATGAACATTTTTGTCAACAATACGATTTAAAACCTCCTTTTACACAATTTTTAGGAATAATAGAATGCATAAAAAAGTTACATTTAGATTATAACAAAGAATATATTGTTCAAAATATACCTTATTATCCAGAATTTTTACAAAAAATTAAGAAACATGAGCAAGGTTCAAGAGATTTTTATGATATCTTTATTGACCAGAAATGGAAAAAGCCAAAATGGGAATTGAAATGGGAAAATGAACTTGAATGTAAATGATATATGGTGGAAAAAGCAAAATATTTTGTTTTTTAAAATAACTGAAGATGTCCAGTTGAGGTGGTTTCATTATAGAATTGTACATAGAATTCTTGCAACTAACACATTTCTATATAAAATTGGAATTGCAGACTCCGAACTTTGTACATTTTGTAAATGTAATGTAGAAACTTTAGGCCATTTATTTTGGGAATGCATTTATGTAAGTGAAATATGGGATAATATATTAATATGGATAAAAGAAGAATTTCATTTAGATATCACATTGAACAAAACTGATGTTTTACTTGGTAGATTTTACAAATATTTCAACATTTTTAATGTAATAATATGTATAGCAAAAAGACATATTTATGAATGGACTATGAAAGATGAATGTATGTAAAAAAAAAAAATAATAATAATAACCTCATGCTACATTAAGGTATATGTAAAAAAAAATACTATGTTAAATTAACTTATAGATTCCAAGGCTCCCCAACCTTGGCTATAAGGACACACACATATATGCACTGGGGTAATAAAAAAATGTTTATTAAAAAAAGATATAAAAACTTTTGTCTTTAAATATGAAATAATCCACGATATCTATCACTTGAGGCTCAAGGAATAGATATAATTCAGCAAAATAATAATGCTGTGATTGAAAATCTGCTTTATTCAGGATCCTAGACTTCCAATAGACTATTTAAGTCCTTGGAAACTTGCAGAAAAAATACACGATTAGCAAATTTTTTCCCGAGGGAGGTGATTCAGATGGTCTTTGGTACAAATTGTTTTCAAGTGGTGTTAGTGGGAAATGTTTAACTTATATTACAATTAAATGAATGTAGAAATATGTACGCAGTTATAAAATCAAGAAGTACGGCGCATCTTCTGAATTTTTCAGCTGTAATGTTGGGGTCAGACAAGGAAAATATATTTCACCTTTTATTTTCGTTGTATATCAATGACTTAAACAAGTATCTTACAGAAAGGAGTGTTAGCAGTAAAGAGAGCTTCTCTTAAAGATTGAATATGAACTTTGCAGTTTTATAAAATGAAACATAAAGATAACGAACAGTAATCAAGCTCACAATACAGATGGGAGCAGAGCAAACGCGGACCTCGAAAAAAATCAGAGGTGGGATCAGGTGCCATGGAGAAGTAAGCATCCCCTGTCGACCGCTTTTATCCGCCGTGTGCTTTTGTCGTGATCAGGCAAAGGGAAAAAATCCATAGACAATTCATTGTGAAAATAATGACATAACAACTTGTATGAAAAATGTCAGTCAATATTCGACTTAACGATACATTGTATTTGCTTATACAAGGTCATTGTATCGACCATAGAATTTGCGAAATGTTGACTATAAAAGAGACTGTTGATATCCTTGTATCTGTATCATAACTTGTCAATAGCTTGCCTCATTTTAAAAATTAATTGTTTGTAGAACATGCTCTTGCATATCGAATCAACTGGGAAATGCCGGGGAAAATGGTATATTGCTGCATACATGCAAATATGAAGAAAGTAAAAGTTATATCGTTTATTTTATTTCATGCAGATGATACTATTATTCTCTCTGAAACTGAAAGTGATTTACAACATGCACTAAATGAATTTTCTATAAAGTGATATAAATAATTCCAGTAAAGGTATTGAATATAAAATCTTTAAAACGGTTTGAATGTGAAGAATACTATACTTGACTGTTTTCTCAAGAAAATTTATTTATTTTTTTTTTTGGGGGGGGGGGGGGGGGGCAAAAGTTGGTACAAGTAATCACCGTCTTCCTATAGAGGTGAGTAGATATAAATGAAAGAGTACGGATAAATAATCAAATTGAAGATGAATTTCACCATACTTACTGGAATGTAATGTAATGTGTAATTATTCGGAAAGATTTTTTTATAAAAATATGTGCATCCTTGGAAATACATATTATAAAATTCTGCAATTTGATGAAAAATACTGATACTGCATTCTGAAGAAAGCTATGTACGATATATATATATATATATATATATATATATATATATATATATATATATATATATATATATATATATATATATATATATATATATCGTAGATTTATCACCAAATTTATGATATTGTCTGCTCTCCTCAATCAAAATAATCTCTGCTCTTTCAGTTTGTTGTAAATATGTTATATGCACCCCATGTACCGTTTATATGATTTTTGAGAGATTAAATGAATGAATTATCCCTGGGGTTGGGCTTATGTGGTAAATTATTGGAAACTTGAAAAGTAATTATTAAATTACAACTTCTCTTAATTTTAATTATAATGTCGATTAAACAAATCCTTTTAGGGATAGGAATCATTAAGTTACAATTTAGAAAAAAGTTTTCCTAGAAAAATTGATTCATTAGGAACATGTAAACATAACCAACATTTAAAACATAGCTTAAAAATTGTTTTTATTGAATTTATGGCACCATAACTTGTCTGTGTCTGTTTTTTCAAGCCCCAGATTTTAATTATTTTGATTTCTCTGCAAATTATCATTAGGCCTACCTACTTCAAGTTTTTTTCCCCCACAAATGCAACTATAAAGCTTTTTACTTATAACTGGTTGAAAAAAAAATTATACAAACAAAAAACAAAAACAAAAACAAAAAACGGAATGCATTTGGTATTCTGTTCACAGTTACAACAATTTTTCATTGTACATCCGTGAGGAAATTGGATTATTTTTTTATTATTATTATTTCAGGAAATAATTGATCTATAATTATAATGCAATTTGTTCACATTACAACATTACAATGTTTATACCGGAAAAAAATTCTACAGACTGACAATATTTAACGGACAGACAGACGGACATATAGCGATTCCATCGTTTGCGTGGTTATAATAAGTATTAATTTATCTCACCTTAATAATTATGTCTGGATCCCCCACCTTTTTTTATCATACTCATAGCTTTTAATTTATTTAATTATTTTTTATGACCCCCCCCCCCCCGATGCGTCTCTTTAGGCCTGTCGAAATTTTTTTTAAATTTCAGCTTGTTTTAATTTTTTTTTTATTATTATTATTGCCTGTTTCATTAAATATCTATACTTATAAATTAATAAATTTTGCAAATAAACTCAGAAACGGGTGCACCAGAGTTCTTACTTACTCCTCTTACAATACACTAGACACAAGCTGATGTCCGTAAACTATATTTAGATTTCACTCGCATAGTAAGTATCGTACATTAAATTAAAAGTCTACTTTCATTTGCTATAAACAGCCATGAAATAGCTAAAACGTGAGTACGGTGGCGTTTCCGGTTGGCGGATCTAAGTTACTGGCAATTTTTAATGAAACTGACAACAAGCAATCGTTTATTTATTACATAAAACGTCATCACTGAATTATTCAATCAAAACTCGATTTAAATGATATAAAAGAAATAAGTTGTGATAACCGATTAAAAAGGGAAATGTGCAAAATATTTTCGTCATTCGCCGATCTTTATATTGACGGAAGCTTCTAGAACATCATATAGCATCGAGCCCGATGTTAAGGGACAAAAAACGAGGCGATTATAGCTACATGACCATAAATAAAGCTTTTGTGTAAATGGTCATAATTGAAATAATGGTAAACCACTGATAACACTATATAAGTTGTAAATATAATTAAATATCGAAAGACTATAACATATACATGTATGTAGTAGGTTTTCCTAATTAATTTATCGGTAAAATTTGTATATATTCCTTACTGAGCGCATCGTGGCAACGAACCCGAAGTACAATTTGTACTTCGTAATAAACTTGTATACATGAAAATAGAAAATTAATGAATAAAATAATGTTCAAATACAATTAAAGATGTAAAATTTTGCGCTTTAATCAATGCACAGTTAATTTCTGAATACAATCTTTTATAGCTGGAATAATGTAGCCCTCTCCTTTTTTCAGGGGGGGGGGGGGGAGGTCAGAAAATATCAGATCCAAAAAAAAAGAAAAAGAAAAAAGAAAATCCGAGAGGGCTATAATCTTTTGTATCAAATACTCAGCCTATTCATAGGGCGTGAAAAGCTAATTTTTACACAGGTACTTGGTTCTTGGTTTATAAATATGTATGTACCTTATTGATAGGTAAAAAAGTAACGTACATTTTTACATATCAATAAGGTACAAACATATTTATAAACCAAGACCCAAGTACCTGTGAATTTTTACCCCCCCCCCTCCCCAAAAAAAATCAATTTATTAGTAACATGTGCATATTCGTTGCTTTTATCCTTGACGGAAATGAAATAAGAGCATCTGAAGTACAATATCCATAACATAGTATAACAGGTTTCACAATAAACGTCAATTAATGAAATCGCATTTTTTCAAGTTAAAAAAAAAACAAAAACAAAAAATGGGGGTTGGGGGGGGGGGGTGTTGGATAGGTAAATCTACTTCATGCGGGATTTTGAACAAAGTATTTGTTCCTGCTATAAGCCTGTAGGCTGTCAGTAGAGAACTACAATATATTTTCTGTCGGTAGTGGTATAAATTCAATTCCCCGCGCTTGCGCGGGATTTCATCTAGTATATATATATATATATATATATAGGCACCTGCTAAATATAAATTATTGCGTAATTTGTTGTTAAAAATTAACCAATCAGAATGTAGAGAATAACAATCCTTCTTGCCGAAGGTTTTGGGTTAACAGGTTAATGTATTCACGAAGCAGAAGGGCAATTCGGAAACGGGAAATGTGCTATTTGTCTTAAAAATAGTGACATAGCTAAAGACTGTGATGTATAAAGAAACTGTGGACATAGTTATGCAAAAAGAGATTAATTTTGATATATCAATACGTTCATCAAGGGAATATAAGGACGAAACATATATTAAGGTACGTGCTCAGTCATTGAAAAAATTCAAGATGGCTGGCGTAGCCATTTTGCACCCTTAGCGCATTAATCAAGAAAATATCTACAAAAAACATAAATCTGAAGTGAAAATATTCACAAATAATTATGGCATCCTACAACTTACATGTATCTGACGAGTTGCGCTTTTACCTGCTTTATTATCTCCGAAGGATACCTGATAAAGGCAGATTAAAGCTCAAAGTTTTTAATCATTTGATCACGTGGGAACGATAGTAACAATATTAAGTGGCGGATCATAACAATGAAGGCCACGGTTATCAGTTTTAGTCAGCAGTAAGGAATATTTCCGTTGTCCATCCCCACCCCTCCCTGTGTTATTTTGGGGATATAGTTGTCTGTCTGTCATAATTCCAGATGACCTGCTAAATGCAGACTTCATTTAAATAACATCATCATGATCATCACATTTATGTTTCTGCCAAATATGGAAAAACCAAGTGAACACAAATCATTAGACTGACCACCATGACAGTGTCCATGAACTGATCAATTGATAAAATAAATATTTCTGAAACAGTTCAGTTTGAGATAACAATATGCTTTGAATTCTAATTTTGCACAGGGAAAAACTGTTCTTATCACAATATAGTCTTTGACCATAACGCTACAGATCCCGTAATGCAAATAATTAAGATGCATTTTATGGTGCAAGATTTTCTGCGCACTTTGGGGGTGTATTTCTGCACTTTTCAGCATTGGACAATCAGCCACCTTCAGTGGCAGATCCAGGAATCTTGAAGGGGGGGTAGCAGTTTGGGGTCGGGGTAGGGGCCCGCGGCAACAACAAAAAACTTGATTTATTAAATCTAAACCTTGTATATTTTGGACACAAAAGGGGGGGGGGATGGGCCCCCCTCTAAATCTGTCAGTGACCTTTCATTACCTAATTCTAGACATAATTATCTTTAACTTTATACATTTATATTTTATCCATACACCTCCAGACCCTTTATAGTCGTCTCTACAGACCAGTAAACTTGCTTGTTTTGAATTTTTTGTCGGATAGCAGATAAATCTCTCTTTACATATCAATATAGATACACATATTTATAAGCCAAAACCCAAGTACCTGTGGGTGTGGAGCCAGTACTTGATATTGCGATTACTTCACAGCTAGTTCTAATTCTTTCGAGGTGGAGGTAGGAAACATCCATTACACAGCTGAAAATGGGGAAAATGTGCTGTTGAATATATTATGAGATCATTCAGTGTAAATTTATGAAAGACATTTTAAGAAAGAAGTCATGGTGAAATATCTTGCTAAATGTTCGATGCACCACGTTGCAAAAGTTCTCTTGTGTTACTTTTTTGTAGATATTTTCCACTAAGCAGATCGATTCTTCTATTAATACGTAATAAATTCAACCATTTCTTTCTGATAAACATTACATTTGGAAATCTAAACATTCCAAATAATATGACTTACTTTCTGGAGTGCAACCATTGGCAATACCACTACCTTGTACTTTTGGCATACTCATTGTTACTAGCATGAACAATATGTTATGCTCAAAAAATGACTTTGAAATGATTTAGAGCTTTTTTGACTGTTTTGCAAAAGAGCTGCAATGTGTTGGATAACCATGAGATGTTCAAGTTTAGGTGGTAATACAGATCTTAGAACTAGACAGAAAAATGAAGTCAGGTAAGACACAATCTAATATTACCAGATCTTATTGCAAGGGGGGAGGACAGGTGACAGCAGGAAATTTTTTTTAGGCCTGGTTTATATATCATTACATTGGGCAAAACATGTTTGCTGTAAGTCACATTCAACTGCATAAAATGCATGATGGCAGTTAGGATTTAAAATGAAACATGTCATGCTACATTTGAACACAAAAAAAGTTTAGCACCTTGAATTTCAGAAGAGAAGATGGACCTTCCAGGGAATCAGTCCAACTTACTCAATGGTTTACAGGGGACCAGTAGTGGGGTACTTGTTACAGGTGAGTAGGGAGTTCCATCAATGCGAGGGGGGGGGGGTAAAGGTGAGTAAAGTGGCAAGGCTGGAGGAATCTCGGTGAACTTTCCTAATCCTTCCTGAGACAAGTGTTACCTTGCACAGGTGGCATGCGGCCTGGATATACATTACTTAAAGGGTCACTGTACTGAATGACTGGTCTTTGGATACCCAGGTTTTAATCAAAGCATTATATGTATTAATTACAAATTAGTTGTTGAGGTGATTTACCTGAAAGACTAATTTGTAATTAATACATGTAACCATAATGATTCTATTTCCTGTCATTTAGAAAAAAAAAACTGAAGGTACTGGTAAAGAGAAGAATGGAAAAGAAAATGCATGCAATCAAAGTCCATATATAATATTTAGCAGAATTGTTAGTGTACGTGACAGCTCTAACAGATTTTATGTCATCAATACAATTAATATAGTACAATGCAGAGAGCACCCTCTGTAATTGTTAGTGACATGCAAGTCTTTTGGCATTAATCAGCTCATTATTTGAAAGTGCACTGTGAAAATGTAAATGCATATATGTACAGATATATTTAAAGAAATCAGTTTTTAAAATACATTTTATTGCCAGGCAATATTGATTAATTAATGAAACAGACAATAATTTATGACTATCTGTATTTTCAAGGATAATGATATTGACAAACATGACTAAAGAAGCCCAGTCTGAGTCGTGAAGGTATACATGTATCTTAAATGGGAAAAGTAAACATTAGGACATATAAACAAAGCAAGAATTATTATGAATGATAAGATTTTAATTAAAGAATCACATGACTTTTATTTAGACATCATTGTTGGTATACACTGTGTAGATCCTGATGTAGATTCTAGTCATTTATCACTGTCAATGTGCATCATGATATAAAGCCTGAGATAAGTATTTCAGTGTATGCTAGGTGTGAGATTGAATATTTTTATGAAGGAATACATTTTAAACAGGAACATATAATCTGACTCTACATGTGTTTGCATTAAGTGATATACATGTAATTGTAATCAGTTTCTTAAACAATATGTTATTATAGTAGGATGTTATTGGAACCAGGTGGAACTACAAGCATATCATGACATTTTGCTGACATTTCGTTTACATGTAACCAGAATTGTATCTCTCTCACTGAGAGTGTAAAGTTCACAAACAAATTAAAAATCATATATATATATCTAACATTCAGTAAGGTTCTCTTACTACTTGTTATCATAGTGTAAAGTGTTCTTTTCCAAATAAAATATTTTCAGTAATTTTATAGTACGAACAAATATACATGTGTATCTATAGCTGTATTAGTCATCAATATTCATTACAGACAACTATTCAGGTAGGTTGTTTTGATGCTAGGTGACCTTTGTAAATGTATTGATGTTTTGTGAAACATACTTCCATTGCAACAGACACAGTAGAAGATAGTTATAACTGTGATGTTGATTTGGTAACATTATTTTCCCTCAGGAACCTCTACACTGAATGGGATAGTGACAAGCAATATGGAGGGGGTGTCTGCTCCATCATCACTAGGTAAGAGAGGTTTTTAATCAATTCACATTGTATATTGAATCAGCATGAAAACATTCTATTTTAGCATATGTACAAAATAACTCATTTTTCATTTCCATGCTGCAAGTTGGCTTCAACATTTTAAAGTAGTAAAAATTGTAAGCAGTGCAAAAGTTTGCATGGAATTTAATAATATTAAGTCTCCTGGCCTAGGTATGAATATTTTTAAGATGATGACAGTGTCAATATACAAACTGGTAAACCAAGATTGGTGTTTTGGCATTTAAACCTAAGGTTGCCTAGAAATGTACCTGATTTTTCTTGAAAAGACAACACTCACTGGATGTAAATTATTAGCATTATACTTAATTCACTGTTTTTTCCTTCTGTTCAGAGTTTGATCAGAACCATGATTTGCTCTTCATGTGTTGGTTTAGCTAAAGTGCACATGTACCATAAATGTTATCAGATTGATACAGAAATCTCCATAATGATGCTCAGAAAAGTGCTCTTAAGGGAGAAAAATCATCACAGACCAGCTGTTGTAGAAAGAGGAAATTAAATATAGTTTGTCTAATTATGTATATTTTAATAGTTTGTTGTTTGCCTCCTCTAGAGATTAAACATCCTTGTTTGGTGATGCAATCCACTCAGATTTTTTATACCATTACTGTATGGCAAATATAGTTACATACTAGCATGTTTTCTTGAAGCTAAATCATTTCAAGGGCCATTAATTTAAGTTGGTATTCTTATAATGCCTTGTTTCTCACTCTGCATACTAAATGAATGTGTTGTGGGTGGAAGTACAAAATTATGTCTGAGAAGTAAAGAAAATGAATAGCTTCTGGGGACTTTGTGTTGTATAATGTAGACAATATTTGTCTTCTATCAGACAGGGGCCTATTACATAACACAGAAAAGGAGCATTTTTTAAATCAATGAATGTCAGGGAGAGAAAAAAATCAATAGCATTTAATTTGATTCAGAGTGTTTTTCAGGAGGTATGGCTGTAAGTGGGGTGTTGTAGAATTGAATTGAATTTCAGAGCTGGTGAAAGATACTTGTCGGAAAATTTTGATTAATTTGGCATGGGGTGAATAAAATTATGTTAGGTGCACTGTGTGTACTTCTGTGTTTGTTGGTTGGTACAGATTTGTTATCAGGCAGTATTTGAATAAGTTCAATGATAGCTCCACCAATAACAGAATTTCCTCTCTATCAGCTAAATTGCCCTTTGGTCTTCTGCCCTGCTGCATGGCTATGGGCTGTGTCTCTCTAATGATAAAGACATACTGAATACTTTTTTGATAGGGCAAGTATCATTTTTCATTAAAATTTTGAGGTTTATTAAATGCCAATAAATAGAATTTAATGTATTCTTGATTCTTTTATGTCTAGCTTTTTCTATAATTTTCAGGGTTTTTTTTTTTTTTGAATTAAATTATGAATTTAACATGCATGTACTTGTTTAATTAAACATGGTAGATTTTTTTTAGTAACCCCCATAAAACATTGTGAAATATATCATGTGCTAGTATATTGTATAATTAAAAGGTTGTTGTTAATTTGTATATCCAAGGTTTAATTTTTTTTTCTTTTCCTACTTTTTGAATGAAATACACCCTCTTTATAAATAGATGATTTTATAATAGGTGTATAAATATTAACACTTACAATATAGAGAGAAATTTCAGTATTTTTTTAAAACCCATGTATATATTTCTACACATCAACAAAATTTGTTTTTATTTTTAAGTTTTTGAAGTCTGCTGTCTCTCATTTTGTTATTTTTTTTCTGATTATTGCATTTCTCCACAGTATTTTTCTTTTCACTTGTTTGAATCTAAGAAACTCAACAAAAAAAAAAAAAATCCCCCAAAAATTTGATGGATTAAAACATTATTTAGTATAATTAAAATATGTATAATGTGGGAATATTGTTAGAGTGTATATATATTCAAGGTCTTGTGTCATGACCATGATCTCAATTTTAGAAATACTAGCAAATTGAAAACTAGTTATAAGAATTGATATTAATTATTTTAAATCTAATTTAACCTTTTGCCCAGAACAATGTCAGGGTCACTAAGGGGAATTTTGTACCTGGAATTATCTCTAAAATCTTTTCAATAACATCTTGATAATTTTTTGGAAATTAAAAATTAGACATTTTTATATTTATTGTAGATTTAAGATAATTAAAACAAGACTTGTTTCTTGTTTATGTAATTCTTTTCTCTTCCATATTTTGATGATTCAGGTGAGTGTTGTAGCCTACTGGCCTCTTCATGTACTTCGCAGGAAATAAAGTAGCATCTTTTTAAGAGAGAGAAAAAAATGATAAAATACAAAATGATAATGTTTTGAATGCAGTTCAAAAGCCAGATAAGATATTGTTTATTACTCTCAAGGTCTGCAATATTGATTGAGAGAGTTCGATAAACATGTGCAGAGTCATTGATCCTTTGTGCTGAAGTGTGTTCAAGTGTCAAAGTGGAGAGAACTCAGGACAAAGTCTGAGCTCTGTCACGATTTACTTATGACTTTCTTCCACTGATTTGCAGATATTCCTTTTGCCTGTAAATACCAGCAGATCGTCTACTTAATTCATGAGTTTGCTTTTCTGAGCACGGAATTTGCTTGTCAGATATTGAATATGGCAGAAACTCTATGTTACCCAGAAACTAGGCTTTCATCATTATTGTATTTGGCAGAAGTAATTTGGTTAAGTGATACAAGGTACATGTGCAGTGTTGGTGTTCTTTGCTCCAAGGTCAATACTAACTAATGAGAAGTGTGTATTCCTCCATGTTCCATGTACTGCAAAGAGTAGTGGTGCTAGTAAGCATGGTAAGGTCAGACAAAATTATGCCGGACGAGCTGGTTCCTTTCTCTGCCTGTGGATGATCTATGAGTAATGGAAATGAGTAGTATGTGTTTTTCATCATTTTCAAAAATGTAGTTGATTCCAGTGATATGAGGAAATTGAAATTACTCTTTTTAAGTGTTCTGTGAAATAGTTTCAAAGTTTATAAATTTTTTCCCAACTCATCATCAGTATCATGAGCTGTTCACTGCAGGGGCAATGAGGAGAATACACATACCAGACATAAAGGAATGTGTGAGTTGTAAAGCACAGCTGTAAGATTCACTAGTCCTCAAATGCACTTTAAGATTCTTATCTCTGTGTTTTACATAGCGGAATAAAATTGTCTACTATAATTGCATTAAGAGACTCATTTGTATGTTTCATTGGTCTCTATTTTGTCTACATTTAATATACATAGGTTGAGAAGTTCATGTCCATTATTATTTTTAGGAATGTTTTTGACAACCATGGGTTTTTCGTCTGATAAGATCTTTGAAGACAGGCTAAGACCAGACATATTTTAAAAGCTAGTGTACTGATCAAAACTGTGTTAAGAAAGAATTGAGATTGATTTTAATGCAGAGTTTTAACGATGACCCCAATGTTTCAAAAATAGATCTTGGCCCATATTCACAGAATATGCTTAGTATTTTAATAGGCAGTGTTTACCGTTTTTTATCTTGGTCAATGGGGTGAAAAGAAGGATAGGCTAGCTGGGTCATTGTTAATATTTGGCACAAACAAATGTGATTTAATTGGTTTTTGACATGGATGGGTAATAACATGACTTATTGTGCATTATAAATCCTCTAGAATGTAGGAACAATGCATTGTTAAAGATGCCGTATATTTCAATAAACATACGTGCATGGTACAGCATGGTGTAATTGCTTTCTTTCTTTGAGAACACATATAACAGTAAAAAAATCATCCATTCTAACATGAACATATGCTTCAGGTAAAGTGCTGATATCTGAACCCCTTTTCATTTGATGAAAGGAGATGTCCCACACGTAATAAGAAGTTGCTTAAAATAGAAAAGCAAGAAGATGCAAGCAGACAAATTCTTAACCTAGAAAGTTTTGGCCCTAATTCTTAACAGCTGTTTGTTATCTGCAAAGTAAATGAGGTCAGTCCAATGACACATGAACTTCTAGTGGCAAGTACTTCTGATCTAGCTGTCAAGAACAAAAGGACAGAGATACTTCGTAGTAGCAGTCAAAGTTAGGTTATGTCAACTTAGATGTTGCAGTGATAACTTTGGCTGAAGATAAAATAATGTGACATCAACCTTTGAGTGACTATACCATTAGAATTGCACCAAGGTTTAATTTCTCAGTTAAAAGAGGTCAATAATCATGATCCCTAGGTTAGGTACATAAGTACTAGTTTGATGACCAGTATACTTTATGTCCACAAGAGGAAATTGTTATCATCTTTTGGTCTAAGCTTAGTAATGTTATGTCATTGTGTATTAAAAGTGTGTCAGAATGACCGATTTTGGTCAGTAGGTCGGTCTAGATCGAGAGTGCACATCTTTGTTACAGTAGAACTCTACAGTGTTACAGATTACGGTGGGATTTCAGTTTGTATAAGTGATTAATCTTGTATTTTCAGTTCACTCAGTTTTAAATTTTAAGAGTTTTTGTTTGATTTTGTGACAAGTATGAGAAGTACGTTTGTGCAGATGCTTACATCATAATGCCCAAGTTTGTTACTGTTTGACAGTGTTATTAACCCTTCTGAGCTTGGCATACATTAACCAATATCTCTTTCTGGATTTATTTGATTAAAGTATCAATTTAAAAGTTATCAATGTCTTGTCATACGGATGCCCTAAAATGTGTAAATGCTCTATTATAGATATTTTTGAGAAATTATATTATCCATCATTGTTACCATTCAGGTTCTAGTTTTCTAGTTGGGGGGAGGGGGGTTGCAGTGCTTTTGATGGCCGCATTATAGTAAACAGAAAAAAAAGTTGGAAAAGCTTAGAGGGATGTTGGTTTGTTTGTTTGTTAGACAGATTATGTGTAATTATATATGGTAAAGAAAGCTTATAGGAAATGGAGGTTTTTCTATTTCATAGAAAGATAAGGTCACAGTATGAACAAGGAAGGCTTTTAAGGGTTTCAGTCTCCATGGAGTTCACAGAACTCTCTTTCTATGTATGTTTTTATATATATCCAATCTTTAAATATAATGAGTGATTGTTCCATGTCACCTTCCTCATGTGCTACATTTTGTTCTTGTGTTCTAATTCACAGTTCAACTGACCTTAAATTATTTATACAATAAACTCAAAACACTTTTATCTATAGGATGAGCTCCCATGCGCGAGTGCGACTTTAGTGAAGTGACATATACAGTATACAAAGCAATCTTTAGTTCGACTTCTTATCCATATCATTTTACAAAAGAAAAATGTTCATATAAATTTAGCAACAACATCAAAACGAACAAAAACATACCCCGGTACAAAATAACAGTACCAGGAGAGGGAATAGTGTGTTGCATTGTAGCAGCGAACTTCAAATGACATTGAACACCCAAAAATCTACCTTATGCATGACTGAATCATGCGAAGCATGGATTCAACAGATTTACTAGTGTTGCAAAATCGGTAGCATACAATCAATTATATAGATCGATAGTTTGAACTTTGATTTAAAGATTAAATTAAGTAAAGTTAACCATGAAATATTCAGATATCCTCATAAATGAAAGAAACGTTAGCTCAGTCAGTAGAGCACTTGCTCTGTGATCAGGAGTCGTGAGTTCGAATCTCGGCGGCAACTCACCAAGTCTTTAAAAAAAAGGATAGCAACTGTTCCTTCACCATGCGCTCGGCACTTTGAAGTGAAAGTTGCGGTTCCTTCGGATGAGACCTTAAAAACCGAGGCCCTGTGTCATGGCAGACGTTGGCACGATAAAGATCCCTCACTGCTCAATGGCCCTGAGTGCCGAATAAAGGTCAAAATTTGAAGCCCTTCACCGATATATGGTGACGTCCCTATGTGAGTGAAAATTCTCGAATGGGACGTAAAACAACATACAATCAATCAATCAATCAGTCATAAATTGAAACAATATTTCAATACAAATCTCTGAGACTAACTTTATTTTATGCTAAGTAGGAAAATTTGTCCACCATTTGCAATAGAAATAGAGGAACATCCTTTGATAATGTTAAAAGAAAAACCAATTTGTATGAAAAAAAATATTTTGAAAAAAATTAGTGGCTATTGATTTTAAAATTTTCTATCGATCGTTACTGACATGATGCCTTCAGTGACGATACTTCAATTGTCAGCAACTATCATAACAACACTAATATTCACCCATAAATAAAATGAACAACCAATTGATCTCCATTACTGATAGACCTGTACTGCATTCATAACAAACACACATTTTCCTGTAACTTTTATAAATATAGTTAACATTACTGTATAATAGTACAGTTGTCACTTTCCTATGACAGTCCCTAGCAGAACCCTATCTCAGTCTGGCATTGTCATTTTTCTAGTTCATCATAATAATTAAAATAATATCATGCAGTGACATTTGGAAGTACAATGTTTAGTTGCAGCATTCTATTTTTAATGCGATATTGGAATTTAAACATTGTGCTAACATATATGAAGTACACACACTACATTTTTTCAATTAGTGGACAATTGTCTCACAGTATTCTTTTCAAAGTCTTAGTATCCTTGAGCATTTTAAGTCACTTTAGCCAAAGAACAAAAACTGGGGGGGGGGGGGGGGATCAAAAGGTATTCTTTAGAACTACTGCATTCAGGAAGACAAATTTTATTGGAAAGCTTCAATATATTCTAGAGTTTGTTTAATTCAGTCAAATAAATACACAGGCATGTAGGGGCATTTTGTGGAGAATTAAATTTATTCATGTCACGAGTCTTTTTACAAGGGTACTTGTGACATTTAGGAAGTTTTTTCCCCTGGGAATGCATGGGAAAATTCTTTAAAACATACCCTTTATATAAAGAGTAAATCACTTATTATTCAAATTGAAATGCCTAGGGATTTTTTTTTAATAAGGAAGAAGGTAAAGGCATCTCTTCTCAAGGGTGGGGTAATGATTACATTTGCCAGACTTTCTAGAATGTGCATATATATCAATATGGATGCATAATACTAGTCATTCTTTGAATTCTGTTCATTGTAAGAAAAATGTGGTATTGGTTATTTCAATCTTCCATTTTGCAGGGTTGACTGCGATACAGGTGTCAGGAACCAATGGGATAATTCTCATAAGCCAACCAATCAACTCAAGTCCAACAGCTCCAAGCACTCTCACTTTTGGTAATAATTTTTAAGAAAATTGGGAAAAAAAATCTAAAACAATCACCAGTATTTACATGTGATATATGTTATGAAATGCTACATTAATTTACAGAACTGTCAGCCATTATGATTTTAGCATAATTTTTATGATTTGTCACATTAAATTATGCCAATAATGAGACCCATATCATTTTGCATTGTGCCATGTGCTTCCCCACTTCTTGTTTACAATGAATACTTCACTGCATTTTGAAACTTAATTTTTATCTGATTGGCTAAAATCTAGAGATAAAATTCAGTAAACTCAGGTTACTAATGTTAGCTACAGTTTTATTGGCCTAATCTTCCAAGGGTTTGTGATTACTGGATCAAAAAGAATTGGCTTGCAAAGATGCATTTTAAAAAGATAATTATAGCTCAAGCACTTTTTTGTCACCAGTTGCACTTCTACTTTCATGCTTTTGTTTCGTGGTAACTGCCACCTCTTGGTTTCATTAAGAATATGTTTACAAGTCATTGTTAGACTTGTCTTAGTACAATGTAGCATATTACTCTGCTTGCCTGATGTAAAGCAGCAGTGCAGAAATATAGTTTGTAATGGTAACTGATCCCAGAGAAATGTTACTGTCTCAATCTTGAAATTTCTGAATCGGAGAACAATAATATTCTGCCTAACTGATAACTGATTCAGCTTATTGTTTTTCAGTACTTTTGATTATGTTTTTTCTGTATTATTTTAGTGTTATGTCAATATTTACTCAATCTCAATACAAGTGAAAGAACCAAGCACGCCAACTCTCCGATTCCCGCCTACATTTTACACCCATTTTATTCAATATAAATGGCAGTTTGGCCATTAAAACTTGATTTAATGCAAAGATGAGTTGGAGGGGGGAAGTTGTTTTAAATATAGTTTCCGTTTTCCATTGATTTCTATCATGAAAAACGGAATTTTTACCAAAATTAAAGAGTTATCTCTCTTTGTCTTCCCAAATAAGTTATGTTTCCTGAAAATTCATATAAATATCTATACAAATATGAAAAATAATTCAAATATGTTAACTTTTGAAAATTAACTTGGAGGTAGGCAGCAGAACAATTAATATGAAGTTCTTTCAGTATATTTTATGAACAACTGAAACTACAAAAACTCTGTATTCTATATATACAGTATGTGCTCTTTGAATTATCCTCATTTTATTTTTATAGCTTTGCCTGTATCCAATCCTGCCCAAGATGTGAAATTTTCACCAGAGAAACTGGACGGCATGAACAAGTTGAAGGCACTTCTCACTGCAACCCCTCTAAAGGTGGCATCCCCTGTATCTTCATCTGGAAATGCTGGGAATATGTTCAGAATCCCTGGTGTCAGCTCCCCTATCCATTCCCTCTCCATTAACACAGCTGTTGTCCAACCTACTCTCACACAAGTCTCCAGTCCATGTACAGTCTCTAGTTTAGGGAGCTCTGATGTGTTTCTCAGCAGCTCCAGTAACTATGGTGAAGTCAGGACATCTTCTGATATATTCTTAAATGATCATGGTAACAGCAACAGGACATTGACTGTTCAGATGGACAATGTGGATTCTACCACTAGTGATCCTGTGCTGTTCCAGCAGAACCCTCACAATTCTCAGTCATTCATGAATTATAATGGAATTACATCAAAGGATGAATCCTCACAAGACAAAGGGTCTGTGTTGCATAATCTTCTGACCAGTGGTGTGGACTCTTCAATGATTGACAGTCCTACATCGAACTGTAGTCAACTTAGTCCGGAGATTAGAAGCTCCATGTCATCCCCTGTGTCCTTGTTTGAAACGAATACACAATCAACATTGATAGCCAAATCAGAGCAGCTGCGGATTGAACACAGTGATGATGTGAAAGTAGAAGACTTTGCCTGGGATACTGTGGATCATGAACCTAACAAATCACTGAAAACTCACAGGAATTCCAATGCCGGGACTTCCATAGCAGACACTGAACCTGATAGTCTGTTCGATGGTGGAAGTGCGTCGGCCTGCACTACAGAATTTACTTTCACTAAGTTTGGAGCTGATGTATCTCCTGTTTTTACATTCAGTGGAGAGAAAGATGACACCGATTGTACATCATCTGTGAGGTATTGTAATTTTTGGTTTTATTGTCTTGATTGAATATTTAATAATAGTTATGATTATTTGATTACCAAGATATTTCCATTGTCATCAAGCCTTAAAGTTGACAAAATGGGCCCTTATATACCTACAAATTTTTGACGAAGCAACATTCACAAATCTTTATAACATAGATTGAAAACCTGCTAAAAATATAGATAAATCTATGAATTTTAAGTATTTGGTACATATTCTCAACTTTGTCTTGTGCTTTTTCAGTATAATATCTTCCTTGAGACCAGACTTTGAAGCAGATGAGATGAATGTTCCTGAAATCACACATATTCAGCTTTCTCCTAAAGTGGGCACAAATCATGTGACTCGCTCACGTCACCGACTACGAGAACTCTCTCTAAACCAACAATTTCCATGTCGTGTACCAGGTTATGAGCTGCAAATTGTGGACCAGCCAGAGGAACAACACAGAGCCAGATATCTGACAGAGGGAAGCCGAGGAGCAGTCAAAAACAAAGCTGGGGATGGCCATGCTATGGTCAAGGTACACAAACTCTTATCTCTGTTTTTATATGATTACTTCACTTATTTTTGTGGGTGTTTAATTTTCATTGTTTCATGAAATGAAGTGACCCTTGAATTCATATTCCCCATGATATTTTTTACTGCAGTATGATTTTTCTCCTTAAGCCTCGAAATCTAATTCCCCTAGATCCAGTAATTTTTCAACAAAACACAAAAATTGACCCCACAAAAATAAGTGATTTTACAGTATTTAAAAGTAGAAGAAACTGCAGCAGTAAAGTTTTGCTGGTATTTATAAAACTGATAATTTTACAGCAAGAAAGGAAAATAAAAACTGTTTGATTTAGAGGTATATCTTGAAATACTTAATGTATATGTGTATGACTTGTCCTGATTTTCAGCTTATTGGAAAGGTGGAATCTGCTGTGCTATGGGTGTTCGTGGGCAATGATTCAGGCAGAGTGAAGCCACATGGCTTCTACCAAGCCTGTAAAGTCTGCGGAAAAAATTCTACACCTTGTCGTGAAAGGGACATTGAGGGAACAACTGTAATAGAGATGAATATGAAGGCTGTCGATGATATGAGTGTATCGTAAGTAGATGTTCCAATCATCAATTATAATCAAAAGTCAATTCATTTTGCTGGTATATTCCATGCACTTGATTATAAGAATTTTATTTCAATAAATCTGTTCTGTTTTTATCAACGGGCCTTATATTCCAGCCACAGATAATATAATGCCTTAAAAAGGCACTTGGTAATGTTATATCATGCTTTTTTACTAATATCGTGCTCCATATGTGTATTCCACAACATAAAAGTCTTCATACATATTGCATTGATTTTCTAGATTATTCTTAGCTACTTTTTTATACTCTTCAAAAATAAAAGTGTAACAAGGAAATTTTTTGTCAGTAGCAAGAAAGAAAGAAAATTCTTCTTAGGAAATGTTACATTTCAATATAACTTACTCTCTTTCAGTTGCTTATTATAAATTTTTTTGTTTATCGATTAAATTGATAATTAGTTAACTACAGAAAACCAATCATCGATTTTGAAATTTTTACCAATTCCCATCACTAAACGTAAGTATACATGGTGTATGTAAATAATCTACATGTATATCATCAAGATTGTAAATGGATATGAAGAGAAGATACAGATGTATGCTGTCTACATTTAAATATGGATCTAAATTTTAAACACTTTGTAAAATATTTTCTTCTGAACTAAGATTTCATATGTACATGTATGTTAGATTTGAATCATACAAAGTTCCTAAAGAGCAAGTTGTCCACTTCTTGGAGCCAGTATTTGTCATAAATACAACTCTTTTTTTGGGGAGAGGGGGATTTAACAATTATATGTTGGTTTTCAAAAGAGAGCTGTATTTGAGTTTAGAATCTGGATAAGGAACTAAATGTGAGTCTTTTTTCCTAGGGTTGACAATGTAGGAATTCTTAAGCTAAGAAATGCTGATGTTGAGCAAAGAATAGGACTAGCCAAAGCCAAGAAAAAGAGCACTAAAGCTCGCTTGATATTCCGTGTGATGTTTCAGAAAGCTGATGGCAACATGCAGACTCTGCAGATTTCCTCAAATTCCATTCTCTGTAGTAAGTACATGTATACGAGAAACAAAATTTGAATCTAGGGAACTTAATGTTTGTTTCTTCCAAAGATGTATAGTATGTACAGGTGATACATTTAGAAATGCTTCTAAAATTCATGAAGAAGATTATCTAGTAGCAGTGTACAATATCTTTGTAACAGCTCAACCCATTGGTCAGCCTGAGATTTGTAAGATTAGTTGTCGGGAATCCCCTGTGGAAGGAGGAGGAGAAATATTCATCATTGGTAAAAACTTCATGAAGGGGACCAAAGTTTTCTTCCAGGAGAGAGAGGATGATGATGAGGAGGGAGAAATCACGTGGCAGAAAGAAGCTGACATTGATAAAGATTATTTCCAGCAGGTTTGCTTCATTAGAAACCAGTTACTGCTTAAAAGAAATTTCATTCTAACTTATAATCATTTTTCTGTGAAATGATTTTACATGCAATGAAATTCAAAGTGTGTTGTCTTGAAGAGCAGGGGAGCTAGTGTTTATTTAAAAAAATTGTATCTGTTTTACTTTTGATTACATTAATTTGCTTCTTGCAGACTCATTTAGTGTGTACTATACCACCATACCATAACCTGGAACTTATCAAATCCAAAAAGGTTCAACTTGTTGTTCATTGTGCTGGTAAGGCAAGCGACCCCACCCAGTTCACGTACACACAAGGTAAGGACAGAAGTTTCAAAATCTCACCTCCTACACCTCATAGAAATGACGGTCAGTCTGAGAACCTCCTTTGGGCAGTGAGGGGTAAAGTAACCTCAATCATATTCAGTTAATTGAGGAATGTTTTGGTGATAAATGATGTAATGTCTCCTTATTACAAAGAAAGAATGGTACAGTACCATTATAGGTGGCAAATGGTGAATATGCTTCTGTTGAAAGACTTATTTACCATTTTATAAGGATGCCTTGATAAGATTTTATGGGGAATTGAAGAGAATAATGAATAAGGCATTATGGGTAAATGGTCAATAATGTTTTCTTGTTGGTATCAACAGTGCTGTCAGCAGTATGCCTGATTGTGAGAACAGTCTAGCTACAACTAGAGTTACTTCCCTTGCTTTGCTCTTGCATGTAGTTAAACCTTGAAATGGAAATGAGACTAAATTGAGGCTAAATTCTTACAAAGAAATTGAAATTGCTGTCAATAGCGCTGATGCGAACACGAAGGCAAAATTTTACATGTAAATTGCTGCTGTGTATATATTCAGAACCCTCATAGCTCTAAGGAGGTCACAAGTGTGCTGGTTCTCAACTCTCGGTGGTTCTTGCTGACCCTTAGTGGCAGAAGACCATGAATAAATTAGTCCCATTTGCAAATTTGATATTCAAAAGTGAAGGGGGGATTTTTTAAAAAAGAAATGGCCAGGAGAACAGCCCACAGGACTGGCAGATTAGGAACCATCCACATTTTCATTAAAGAGGAGGAAATTCTTCAGTGATATTGTCAGAAATTGCAACAGTATGGGTTTGCTCTCCAAAAGAGTGGTGCATTAAATGTGAACTGGAATTACTTGTTCATTATCTTGCCAGCAATTGTGTCAGTATGTACAAATATTTGAAAGAGAGATAGTTTATATATTGTTTGAGTATAATTTCTTTACCATGTTACACTTGTAACACGACCTTCATGTTCAGCTAAAGGCTGTTATCCCTCTTTCTGTCCATGGTTTTATTTAATGGTCTGGACCATATTTTGTTCAATTAACAGCATTCTGTACAGTGTAAATGACTTGTGATGAAAGTAGACTCATTTAATATGATGGTGTTTGAGAAAATTTCAATTATGGTATCTAATTTTTTGTTCATTGGAAACTACCAAGTTTATTCTAAGAGGTGGTGGATTTAACATATGTACTCAAAGTTCATCTTCAGTACATACGGAATGGCATCAGGGTATTGTTAAGTCTTGGAACTTGTGTGTTTTATGTGTCAGCATGAGAGACGTGAAAGTTTCTATGGATGGAATTTCCGATTCTGGGTTCAAGTGAATGTTTGACATGTCAATGTTGTAGGCAAGACAATGAATAGAGGAAACCAAGGTATTCAGATTGAATGTCTTTGTTCTTAAAAAAATGGTTATATTTCTTAAAATTTGTGATTGAAAGATGGCGTGTGGATGGTTTCTGATATGTAATCAATGATCTTTCATTTTTAGATTGGCATCCGTGTTCAAGCACCATGTCCAACGTTGTTGATATTAATTATACAAAAATTAGTTTTCAGCATTTTCCTGCCAAATTTTCGGACAAAACAATGATAACACATGATAAATTGAATATCTTTGAAAACAGTTCTAAAAAAAATGCATGTTTAGAAATTTTAAATTGTCAACGAAAGAGAAAAGATATTAAGTTAAAAAATTCTATTCAACCTATACAAAGAAAATTGAAATTAGCAAAGAAATTGTTTTACCTTTTGAATTGTACACATGCTTAGTTTTAGAAATTTACTAGATAAATTCTCCAAGTGAACAGAACAAAAATTGGGCAGGAAAATTTCTGTTTCCAAATGTGTTCTGTACAAGGATGCCTATCAAGAATAAATTAGTAACTTTTGTGTGAATCCAGGATCGGGAAACATGAGGTATTGTAAGGAAATATTTCACTTTTTCATGCATATTTTATGGCTGAAAATGTTTTTTAAGTTTTTATGATATTAATTATTATATGTAATTTAAATAAATGTACTTCAAGTCCACAGATATAGCTGCAGCACCATTTTTCGTCTATAGTTACTACTTAGTGAAAGATGCTTTTATTTCCTAAGAATGTTTTTTTTTCCTGAGTTCTATTTTCTGCTTTAGTCTTGAAATTTTATTTGAATGATTATCTTAACCATTTTCTTTCATTTGTACCTGTAATGATTAATTTCATCAATTTAATCAATACTCATTCAGAGTTTTAAAATTTGAACATCTGTAAAAAGTTGCATTTTAAAACATTGGTACTGAGTTGAAGAAGATATTGTAAAAAAGGATATTGTAAGGTTTTTTTTTTTTTTAAATAATCCCAAGTTAATTGGCCTGAAGAAAACTCTGAAGACACATTAACAGTTCCACACTCAAGGTTTGACATTGCACAAACTTTGAAAATTTACATTTTTCTGTGTGTATCTTTTTTTTTTTAACTCAGGAACAAAATTTGAAACCTTGAAAACTTTATATTGCATATATATATCTATATATATTAAAAACATGAAAACAGAATCTCTGATTAAAAAACACTGAGGCCATTTGATATGCTGTGGATTTAGTTATTTGTTTGGGGGGAGATTGTGCTAACATTGTTTAAATGTGATCTTCCCTTAGACGCACTTGTTCGACGGAACTATGGCTGATATTCAAACGATGACCTAGAGCCTTATTTTGAGGTTCTCCCATCAGAAGCCAGAGGTCAAGAGTTGCCACAAACAGGTGGTTCTACCATCAAGTTTTTTTTTTTGTAAATAAGCAATTATCATAGTGTTCTGATAATTGTTAAACTTTGGGTATGTTTCTTGCTTTTACTGCTGGTTATTTATGAATACAAATGTAACCTTAATATCTGTGAATTTCTTATGCATAGTGTAAGGGGGTAAGGAGTGTAAAAATCTTTCAGATTTGGAAATAAATGATGTTGCTGTATATATTTTTTTCCTTTCAGACCCGCAGATGCAGATCAAATAATTTAAAACCTTTCAATTAGCTACATCCAAGATGTCTGTCCTTGCTTATTTGCATGGGAGTTTGAATTTGAAACGTTAAAAAAAAAAGATCATCCGTATTTTCCTGTTATCACTGTGCATCTCTACAGTGGATGACATGTTGAGTGTTTTTGTTTGAATGTCATCAAAACTCAAAACTTGTAGCTTAATGTAGAACAGTGTGGTTGTGTTCTGAGTGTTCTAACCTTGTCTGGTATGAAACATGTCATCCTATAATTACACATTCATTGGTCATGACATTTCACAGTTGCTCCCAGTGTATTCTCTGTGTATAATGTTAGAGTTCAGATAGTACTACCATTCTTGGCTGATACTGCATGGAATAATTTTTTCTTTTCTTCAAGACATGGATATAGCCAATTGAAAGTGTCTGTTAGATGTTACTAAGTCACAAATATCTAATCTTTGATAATGCATACTTATAGTTGTACAACAAACTCCAACTACTCCTCGGAAACAGCATGAAACACCTATGGAGACAGACACCTTCCAGAAGCGCAGAGTATCGTTTACAGTGTCTCCAGGTACAAATGGCCATTTCCTGAAGTTCAAATAAGTGTTTCTCTTGAAATTTCTAATGTAAGATGTTTTGTTTTCTTTCTTAATTTTCAATGTCATCCATTTTACAGAGGCTTTGGAGCTGAATAATCAAATACAACAGACACAACAACAAACAGAGAATGGATCGGGAATGTTCCAACTACCCCCAGGGACCCTCAACATAGATATGAAGATGCAGGTGGATGCCTCTCCAATGAATACCCAACAGAACATGGATACAAAAGAAAATCTTGTCCAGTCACAGATGATGCAACATTCTGGTAACATGGCCAGTCCTATATCAATGGGAGACCTAAATCCACAAGTGATTAATACTCCTGTTTCCATGATGAGTACTCCCGTAAGTTTAGAGAGTGCCATCTTCCAGCAAGTGGTGGTAACCAAGCAAGAAGGTATAGACAGCATTCTGCAACAAGGAAATCAAGTCTTGCACCAGCAAGTGCCCAGTCCAATGATTCAGGGGACAACTCCCACAATGCAACAGCAGGGACCACATGGTATCCCAGATCATGTGAGGAATGGAAATCAACAGCAAGGGTTTGGGCTTAGTATGAACAACCTTGTATCCCAGGGAAACATTAGTGTCTCTCAAATTGATATGGATAAAATACTTAATGCTGGTCTTAACTCTAATGTAAAACTAGGAGGTTTGAACACAAATACACAGGATATCAACTCTAGTCATTTGAGTGGAACCATGGCAACAAGTGCACAACCATCAAGACAGCTAAGTCGACAGAACAGTAACAATTCTTTGACGTCCAATGGTTCTAATTCATATAGCTCTCAGACCAATATTCTAGATGTTTCACATGACTTTGCAAATATTTTACAAGATGCCAAAAAGGATCACCCAGAAAACATTGATAAAATGGCTGAAGCTATTCTGAATGTGAGTTCTACTACATTGAAATCCTCGTGAAATTTCTTCAAAGGAAAAGTTTTTTGAGCAAATGCACAGGAAGAATTCTTTAATACTGTCCAGATAAAGTTAAAACAATAAAATTGAAATTCTTACAAATATACGATGTATTCACCCTGTCCACATAAACAATGAAATTGAAATTCTCACAATTATACAGGTATGTAATATTCAATATTCATATCTTTTCAGGAGAAATGGAACCAACATGAGATCCATGAGCAGCCCCACACCCCTGCACCAGAGACGGCTCCTCAATTCTCTCAGAACAACTACCAAGCGTCCTCCAGTATAGCTCAGCTGCTGGCCACACATTTAGCTTCCATCCAGTCAAACAGAGTCAGTTCCCCAGCTAATTTTCAGACAACCACCTCCTTCCAGACTCATAATAGCTATATTCAAAGTGGTCAACAAAGCTTTAACCCCAGTCAAGGAATTGGACTGACGGGGATTACAAACAGTGGTGTTAATACATCCATCACACAGACTCTACTGAGAAACATGAATGTTCCTCTCCATACTATCACATCGATGACTGCAGAATCAACCCCTGAAATGAAAGTTCAGATGGCAAATCCCCAGCCTCAGCTTATAAACAGCAGTTCTATTCCCACACAAAGTAAGGCACACTCTTTTTAGTTTAATTTACACTGACTTCAAATAAGTCAGCATAAAACTATGAAGATTCCTCATACTTTAAAACCAACCAACTAGTGAACTAAGTCATATTTTAAAACCAACCAACTATTGAACTACAACTTGTTAAACTTTTTTTTAAACCTGTTTTTGACAGTTTGGCAAAATGGAAACGCCATAACAATATACTTGTATTTAATAACTATACTGACATTTCTGTCCTGATATTGGAGTCAGTTCACTTAAAATTTTTTGTGGGATGGTGTATGATTGTTGTTTAATGTCCCTCTCGAGAATTTTTCACTCATATGGAGACACAAGGGGTGGTGGTGTTTCATTGTTTCATCACTTTAAAAACAGAATTGGACCCCTAATCCCACAACATTTTAAACATGTTAAAGTATTATCCATACGAAACCTCAAAAATAAAAATGAAATCCTTACCATCACAATGGAAAGTAAATTCATTGGCTTTTCTGTGCCTTTCACATACATTTATATTTTTCTGAAAGAAAGCAATTTTTTGTCTCCAGCTTCAAAGTAATTGTAAAAGTTTGTTTTATAATTTTAGACATAAATGTGCAGCAGCCACAGCTTCAACAACAACAGCAGCAGAATGTACCCCAGATTATCATCTGTAACCCACCACCTGCTGCCGCTGCCCAGCCCTTGGGTCAACCCCAGCACTCCTCAGCTAATAACTTTGTGCCAAACCCTGCCCCAGCACAGCCCCCTAGTATTGTTATACTTGGCGGTCAGGGGAACAATCCTTCCTCACAAGGTAATAACCAGTTAGAAGGTAGAACTTTCATTCTGCCTTTGCTCATTACACTGCTTTTACCATGCTTATCACTGATCTCAGTCTGTAGGTAATGTATAGTTTTATTTAAACAAGAAAAAAAACAGGAATACAATGCATATATTTTTATATTAAAACAGATTAGTTTGAGAAGAAATATAAGGTCATGCAAACATTTGTTGTAATTTTTTTTTTTATTGGCTGGGGGATAATTGGTTACAATTTTTCAGTTGATTTTGGAAACTTGAAAAAACAGTTGTTTCATTTTACATATGTAAGATCATCATCAGATTTATAAGGAATCAAAATTGTTCATCCATAGCACTTTTCTAAAAGTGTGTTTTACTGTAAAGTGTACTATTAAGTGTTATTGTCTTTGAGCAAATTATTTCTGTAATGTTCAAAATAACATTTTGATTAAAAAAAATAATTGAATCTGAATTATCCAGGCTCCTGAAAATGTACTAAATTTGAAATTGCAGAAAGATTTGCATGCAAGACTTGTTACTTAATATTTATTGAGATGCAATGAGATAATAGCTGCAATGGCACAATTATAACATGCACATACATTTGAAAGGTAACGGACGTTTCGCCCCTCTTGATGTTTCGCGCCGAGACCATTCGCCCCGTAAGACCTTTCGCGTTGAGACGTTTCGCGCCGAATTTAATCTACATTGTCTATAACGATATATTACGATGTTTTAAGATAAATATTTATATATAAGGTTAATATTGACTTTATTAAAAAAAACGTTCTAAAGTTACTAAAAAAAACTTTCATGTTTAAATTGTTGAAAATACGCTTATACCAAAATTAAATGTATAATTATCCATGTGCAGATATAATTATGTTTATTCAGCAAACATAATTGTCGGATTCAGTTTTGTACTTAAGGTCAAGATCTAGTAAATGATTTTAGACTGTTTTTTTAGTGCTAGATCCATTATGACGTCATAATTGATTTTAAGTTTATTTTTTCCCGTACTTTACAGCTGTAATAGAATTATGTAGGAAATGAAGCATTTTGATTTTATTCAATTTGAAATCATGTCAAAAGTAACCCCGATATCTATATTCAATTTAATATCATTTTGAAGTAGAGGTTAAGAAGAAACGAAAAACCGTTTTCTGAGAAACTGTAGGCAATATTGCTACATTTCTTTTATCTGAGATGGAAAAATCTCGGAAATTTATACCTGACTTTCTTCGGTTTTCATTAAAAATTACAGTTTGAAATATGTTTTTTCGTCTAGTTTATCAAAAAATTATGTCCCAAAACACCTTATTTTACAAAGCTATATTTGTAAAGGGTCATTAAAAGAACTCGTTTCTCAAATTTGAAAAATCTGTAGGCACCTTTCATTTACTAGATCTTGACCTTAAGGTGTTATAACTATATAATTTAGAGACTCTCCATGTCAAGATAAAGAGAAGAATTAAATTATGAGACGGGTGTTAATGAGAACTAGTGGTTACATATGCGAAGATCCAATATTAATATTATTAATAAATATTATTCAAACTATTTTACGTAAAATAAGATTATAATTAATGCCATGATTAAATCTGGTAAAATATGACAAAGGTTAGAGTGAATAACCCAAGAGTTACAATTAAAGTGCAAAAAGGTCAAGTTCATTTTTCCGTTGCTCAATAGGATGCACACTAACTCCAGTTTTCTTTGCGATTTTGAGTATTGCTATATAAGTAGTTATCAAAAATATACTTCTCCAAAAAATCTTTAATATAACTAATTTCACAAGTGACATACCTTAATTTATTTCTATGTCTGTTATACCAAAATAGATCATTTTTTAAATTCATCATGTCATTAAAATAATCACGAGTTGCTGTTGTCTCACGTCATATAAAATATCAGGTCATTTAGAAATAACTTTTTTTTAAGTAACAGGAATTCATAGAAAAAAAAATCAGGTCTGACAATTTAAAATTTTTTTTTTTTTTAGTATGGTTATGGGGGGGGGGGGGGGGGTATATAGCATGATATAGAGATAAATTCTCAGTTTTTATTCTCTACAAGTGTATTTTGGTAAGCATCATCTATTATCAATATTTCCCCCATACAGGCAAAATTATCTCAATCAGGTCTTCAGTATGTCAAGTCTTTAGTATGTCAATTGAGTCTTTAGTTTATCCCAAATAAATTGGTTTTATTAATTGAACCAATGGATTGGATTGAAGTAACACAATGCAAAAGTTATTAAGAATTTAATAATTGCTGTTAACAAGTGATAATTGCCACATAATTAATTTAATTGATCTTAGGCGCGAACCGTCTTGGGGCGAAACGTCTCAGCGCAAATGGTCTTTAGGGGCGAACCGTCCCGCACTCATTTGAAAGAATGTGTTCTTTGTACATAAACATGACAATTTGGTAAGAATTTTTGTAGGATTATGTAAATGATATATATATGATAGCATTACCTTTCTTGATATGTTTTAATTTCCTTTAAAAAATATTTTTGGATTAACTTCCAATATGCTGAAATTAGATATTGGCATTTTTTTTCTTCAAAACTTGATAGAATTTGTTTATTCTTCATATATAGATGGAAGATATGTTTCAAGTGCAATTCTCTGCCACTTGATAACACTCTAAAATCTTGTTAGAACAGAATTACTGATTATCATTTTCACTCAGCACAATAAGAAAAGCAATTGTGTTAACAGCTGTGACAAAGATGTAGAAAACTGTGAAGAATCGATCCAATGTATAAGCCAGCAATTCCCACTCATTTAAATTCTTGCTGCCTTCAGAATGCACAGACTTGTCGCTTTCCTGGTCCCGTCCCTGAACTTCCCCCTTCTCCCAGTTGTCGTAGATAGTATTCTCAAATGCCTGTGAGTAGAGTGACTTGATACTCTTCCTATTCTTTTTGCCTTTGTTAGTGGGGATCACACTGGTTCTTACAACTAGTTCCTCGCTTCTTTCTTTTGGGCTATTTTCATGAGATTTGACAGGTTTAAGATTGTGTGGTTTGATGAACATCAGTCGACCTAGTTTCTTAATCAGAATTTGACTGACCCATCCTGGCACCTGTTTGCCACTGAAATCATGGTAGAACAAATAAAGTACTATGGCTGACATCACACAGGACAAGCAAGTGAGCAGAAGGGTAATGAGGAAGTAAATTCCAATTTTTGGAAAGAATTCAGATGATGATGGAAGTGTATCATGGATAACAAGCAAGAATACAGTGACTGCCAAGAGGATGTTCATGTGGAATGTTATCTTTTCTCCAGAGATGGATGGCAAAACGAATCCAGCAATGGATAATACAGTGAGAGCAAAGAAAGGCAAAATCATTGTAATTATGTAGAAGGTGGCCTTGCGTTTTATCTCCAGTTTGTAGGAAATGCTGGAGAAAGGGTCTTTACGGGAGATGTATGAATTTATCCTCTTTGTTGCTTTTAGACTGACCACTATCCACTCTTGGTGGTTGACAAAGGAAGTGAGATCTCCAGTATCAGATTTACTGAACATTTCTATATACTTGTTTGAATGTATCCATGAACCAAATGTCATAGTACACATTTGATGATCATATGGGAACATGGAAATGTTCATTCCACATGTCATATGTACTGTTGTTGGAAAATGATATTGAATTTCTCCTGTGTTTGTTATCAAGGCTCTGTATTGCTTCATATCTGGCATGTTTGCAATATCATCAATACCTTCAAATAAAGTCACATCTGGAATCCAGAGTTTGTCATATGGGACTCCTATCTCAGAAATTCCACCAAATTCTGAAGTACTCCATATGAAGTTACAATCATTCCATATGAGTCTGACCCAAATTTTTAGTTTAATGGCCTCATTTTTCTCAGATAATTCCACAATTTCTCGGAGGCCAACATCAATTGTTACATTCATGGCATTTTCACTACAGTGAGGATGAATGGTTGATGTGTAGTTACCCTCAAACAAAGTCTTGTATAATACAGAAATAAAATGGTTTCGATGAACACTTGAAACGTTCAAAGATGTTAGAAAAAATAAACTGAAAATGCTCCATAGCAATGTTGACCACATTATTCCTTCAAGGATATTTGAAAGGTGTCTATTGAAATGAGGAAATGGGACTAATTTTTAAAAAAATCTTTACTTTCCTGTTTTTTATTGTTAAAATTTTCAACAAAAATGACAATCTTTAGAATTTATTTGTATAATGTAGAAAGGTTTTTTTTTTTTATATTGTTCCTGTCAATTGAAATTTAATAGAAGGAAGAAGGTCTGGTAAACTTGAAAGATTTTGAAAACTGAAAGAAAAAATATTAGCCAGGAAATATTTCATTTTTTAAGCTATATTTGGGGAGGGGGGGGGGGGGGTAATGTTACAAAGATGATTTTCTGATTTTGATATAAAGAAAAAGTATCTTCCTATTAAGATTGAAAATTTTAAGTGCATCTGGTGTCAAAACTTGATTCTCTTTTATGTAGTATAAAGTGATGAAAATGTGCATTGTTCTACATGATATATTTTATTTATGAATATTTAAATTTATTTAATTTTTTTTTCAGTTGAAAACATCCTGAGATCCATTTTAGACAGTCTGCGCCCACAAGGTGGCAGCACATAACATACACATCTGCGTCTGTGTAGCCAAAATGACAGCATTGAAAAGATGGGGGGGATTCTGCAGATTGACTTTTCAGTATTTATTCAACAATTCTTTTGTGATAAAACTTTATTGTGTTTGTTTATGTTGTTTTTTTTCTTTTGGTTATTCTGTTATTAATGTACAAATGTAGTTCCTTTAAAATGTGTAAGATCCAAGCAAGATTCACAGCACAAGACATGTACATGTATATAACCCAAGTTTGTCTTTACAAACCTCTAAAAAAAATTTCTAAGTTTTGGAGTTACATAATTTATTAGATCTCAAAACTTCACTTCAGTTTTAGATTACTGGTCAAGTAATCTGATGCTGAGGCTATTTGTATAATATTGAGACGGAAAAAATCTGCTGTACGTACGTAATTAAAGTGTTTTGATTGAAGCAGACCATAAAGCATGGTTGTTCAATTTTTTAAAAAGGTTGTTAGCTAGGGTAAAGATTATTTTTTGAAGGCTTAAGAAAGGGTAAAGGTGAATGCTGATGCTACGATGAATGTATCACTTCAACAAAAAAAATACTACCCATATGGCCATACAATTAAAACCAGAAATTCAAAGGTACCTGTATTTTTTCCATATCTTTTCCCTGATCAGATGTGTTCATGTAAATTGAAAATTTTTAAATTTTAGAAGAAAATGGATTTTACTTTGGCAGCTCTCAACATTGTGTGTACCTATTCATATTTATTAGTATTATTATTACACCTTTTGTTTTTAAAATGTAATCATTCTTGTTATTTCTCCAGTTACATTATTGTGTGGGAGTAGGATGTTAAAGAAATGCAGTGACTTAAATGTGTAAAAAAAATATTTGTGCATAGTATTTTAGATACATCTATGTATTCTATCACCTTTTTAGAACATTGTACTCATTAAAATTTAATACAAAGAAATATCAGAATGAGAAAATTGCCATCAGGGGAACATCATTGTTAACAGATTACCAAAAGTTACTTAAAGTGGAAATTTTCATGATTAAATTTTTTTCCCTCTGAAAACTGCTTACAAACAATACATTTGTATTCTTGTGTGTTTTGATATGAAATGGGAACTTTCTGAAATAGCCAAACAGATTTTGACACATTGTATTAGCTTTTTGCATATTAAAATTACATTTTTCTCGAATAAAAATTTCACCGTATTCAATTATCAAACATGATGCATATTTTTATCACTCTTCTTCATTGTAAACCCTACTTAGAATATTTATAAATTTATCCATTGCAAAGCAAATGCCTGAATTCATGTATGAATCAAATACTGTGAAGAAAAATCGACGTCATACCTTGTAGTATCTATTGTACCTGTACAATGTATTGAATTTAAACAGACATTTTTGTATACCACTTTTTTCAGAGTTCTGTGCATCCAATATTTTTTCCACCTTTTTGTGATATTACTTAGTGCTAGGATTTGACATCATAGCATATATCAGATTAGTATTGAGTAGAGGAATTGGTGCTGTGATTATTTTTCATCGTTCCTTGGACAAAGTCAAATTATTTTCCTATATACCGGTTGATTGGTATCTTAGATGTACATATCCTGTGAGATTACTTTTCATGCACAGTCAGATGTTGTCATTTTCATCACAGAATTTTATCTTTGTTCATGAATAGCTTCACCATGCTTGCATCTGCAACACTGCATGCCTTTAGAGAACATTATTTGTTGTGAAAAAATGTTAGAAATTCCAAATATTTCAAATCTGATAATTTTTACTGCATAATAAGGAAAGTTTGCCCGAATTCCTTAGAGGTTGCAGAACTAGTTTGTATTTGTGAAAGATAACAAATCTTTCCATACATGTGTTCACTTCAAAGTTTAAAGTAAAGTAGTTATATTAAATAAATTGTCATTAAGAATTAAAGATGTATTTTAGATAATGAATTTTTGCAGCATACATTAATAGACTAGCATATTGATGATGTAATATTTGAATTAGCCCTGAAATTCACCTACATGGTAGCTTCTAATTTTTTTCAATTTTAAAAAGAAATATAAATAAAATTTTTAAAAATATTTTTGATAATTGTTTATGTAGAGTAACTATGTATTAACACTTTTACTTTGGCCTGCAGGAGTTACAATTGAATATAATGTATCTTTAGAAAGATTTGGAAGTATGTTTTAACAAGGATATAGAGGGTTTTCTGTATATAAAGGTTGATTGACGTTAAGTAAATGTAAAATTCGGGGAACTGTGAATCTCGAGCCGAAATCTGCCCTGTACAGTAAACAAGTATTGTTTTAGTTTGCTTCACACTTTGTGATATTGGTATCGTTTTACTTGTATGCAAATCAAATCAGATGCATTGTGTTTAGTAATTTCTCATTACTAATATATATATAAATGGCACAGTAATGCTTGCCTGAAGGCTTTAGTATTTTCATTCCTCATTGCAGTATATGTAGTGTTGGCCTCAGTATAATTATTAAAGAGAGCCTGCAGGTTTGTTTTACACATATATATGTATTGTTTTTTATGTTCTCAGCTTGTTACAGTTTTTATTTGTTATGTTTTAATCAAGAACTGTGAAATCCTGACAAAAAAAAATTACTACAAAACTTAACAATAACTAACATGGAACATGTTCCATCAGTAAACAGAGACTATGTTCTTCCATCAGCTGTTTAATGTGCTTATTCAAATTTGAATATCACTTTCAAATTCATACTGGCACTGACTTGTTACCAAAGGTAATGAACTGGAGCGTCATTTTTAAAAAAAAATACAGCATGCTTTTTTCCATAGAGAATTCTTTACTGTATTGATTTTTATCTTTGTTTACTAGATGTCACATTGAGTATTAAAAAACAAACGAACAAAGAATGTGGTTTTTTTTAATTTTTTTGAAAATTGCTGGTGAACATTGCTTTGGATATGTCTGAAACAAATGGTAGACATGGAATAAAAGGAGCCGCACATCAATATTACTGACAACTAGTGGGAAATTTATTCAGAAATTTAGCAATAATTGTCACTCATGTCCAAATATGGTTTTATGTGTACATGAATGTAGTGATGCCTTTCCAGCACCATCAGCTACTGTGCAATTTATGCAAGGGAAATACTTTAAAAGATGCATTGTTTCTCTAATGGTTAAGTACACCAAAAATGTGCCATGACCCACATGACTTAGACACAACTGCAGTGTCATTGTTACCTGAGTCACTCAGGTTTACCTATTGCTATCTTTAATTCTGTCGTGCATTAAGATTTGAACATTTTCAGTGTCTTCTCTGGAGCCACTCAACCAATTTTGGCACAGAACTTCTAATGAGTGAAGGGGAACAAAAGTTGCAAATTTCATGGTCCCTGCCCCCTAGGGCCTTAGAGGTGTGGCTTAAACCATCAAAATTAGTGCTATCTTTAAAAATCTTCTTTAATCATGAACATCAAGCAGTCAAACTGTTGGTATAATTGTAATAAGCATTGAGCCCTTTACCAAAATTGTGAAATTCATGGCCCAAGGGTCTGGGGTTTGGGTGGGGCTTTAATAGTCATATTATGAATTGCATAAATTCTTTAAAAATCTTCTCTCCCCCTGTGTATTAAGCAAACAAACCAAGTATTCAGTTATGATGAGCAATTTGCCTCTTCCAAAATTGTGTATTTCATGACCTTAGGTCAGAGTTTCTGGTGTTAGGATGGGGCTTTATTGATAATATAGTGAAAATTCATAAATTCTTTTTTCTTTATTGCACCTAGGTATTTAGCAGAAAAACTTAAGTGCATGTATTTGATGACCAGGAGCCCTCTTCTAGAATTGTGAAATTTGTTCCCCAGGGTGAGGGGTTCAGGATTGGGGGTTCTGTTGAAAATAGTGAAAATGCATTATTCCTTAGAAAATCTTCTTCTCTCTTGGGTATTTTGCATATAAACTAAGTGCATAGTTATGATGAGCAGGGGTGCCTCTTCAATAATTGTGAATTTCATAGCCTCTGGGTCAGGGAATTTGAGGTTAGGGCAGGGCTCTATTGATAATATTGTGAAAATGCATTAATTCTTTGAAAAAATTTTTCTCTGCTCCTGGGTATTATGTAAACAAACGAAGTGCATGGTGATGATGAGCATTGATGCCTCTTCGAAAATTATGAAATTCATGGCCATAGGGTATGTATAACTTCTTTGAAAATATTTTTCTCTGCTTCTGGTAATAAAGCAAAGAAATTAAGTGTAAAGTTATGTAGAGTTAGGGTGCTTCTTCCAGAATTGTGAGTTTCATGCCCTTGGGGTCGGAATTCTGGTATAAGGGTGGTGTTCCATTGATAATAAAGTAAAACGCATGAAATATATTAAATGATCTTGTCTACTCCTGGGTATTGAGCAGGTAAAAATAGTGCATAGTATTGATGAGGTCTTCTTTAAAAAAATTTAAAACTTGTGATCCCAGGGTCAGGGGTTGTTACAACGCACATTGAAAAATCTTTTTCAAAGTGTATTAAATTTGGGATCAAGTTAACGCACCTTGAAAAAAAAATTCTTTTAAAAAAATTCGTTTATAAAAATGCGTTTATATCGACCATGTTAAGCACTTTAAAAGAAAGGTGCACGATTTGGTCAATATTTTTGCAAATTTAAGGTATGATAAATAATTACATGTGTATATGAAACTGGTTGGTTAACATTACGGTGATGACATCACTTCAGGATCTGAGTTATAGACGTTTTAAAGATTTTTAAGAGTTGTCTTGTTCCCAAACGTTTTCGTAAATATTATAAAGTGAAAAGGGTCTTTTAGAAATAATGGAGGAATGGTTTTTTTTCATAGAATAATTTCCTTATTTATTTTTATTTTATCCATTCTGTATTAAGTTTGGTAGATGTAGGGTCGATAAGTGACTTAAAGCATCGCATTTTTCTTAGGGGAATTTAGGGAGCAATTATGATTTTTCCATACCAGGAAAATTCTCTCTCTCTCTCTCTTAGTTGCCTATAGTTGCTTAGATCAGCGATATGGCCCATGAGTCTCTCTTCTTCAACAAAGTGCATAGTTATGATAAACGAGGGTATCTGTTCAAATTTGTGAATATCTTGCCCCTGAGTCAGGGGCTCTGGTGTTAGGGTAGGGCTGTGTTGAATCTATAGTGAAAAAGTATTATTTTTTTGAAAATCTTCTCTGCTCCTGGGCATCTCAGAGGCAAATAGAGTTTTAATAAGCAAGGATATTTTACTAGATTTTTGAAATTCTAGACTACTTTAAGTATATGGTCAGGTGTTCAGTTGCTGGTCAGGGCTCTATATTTCACATATGTATTTCTTATGACAAGACCTTGTCTTGGGCAGCAATAATTTTGACCTTGACGTTTGACCTACTTTTGAAAAACTTTAACCTTCGCCATATCTTTCCAACAGTTGAAACTAGGGCATTCATATTTCACAGATATATTCGTTAAGACCGTTCTTTGGCATCAACATTTTTTCTCTCTTTACCTTAACCTTCGAGTTTGACTTGCATTTGAGAAACTTTAACCTTCTCTATGAGCTGCCATACGGGGACATCATTGTTTCACAAACACAACTTGTTGAATTATTTATTGATACATTTTTTCAGTTAAGTTTTTAAGATATGTGAAAAGAAAAAAGGCGCCTCAAATATGATTCAAACATCTCTAAAGTTCACGCTAAGGCGTAATGTTAAATGCTTTAACCACTTCCCTACGGAGTCTTATCACGGAGGTGTGTCAGGGTGGTTTATATAAACGCGTTTTTTGATGCATTTTCTCCAGAAATGTTCGATTTTCATATAGAATGCATTCAGACTCCATGTTTTTAGCTCACCTGAGCTGAAAATTGTTCAAATCAAGATCCCCAGGGGGTAGGGTGGGGCCACAATGGAGGATCATGGCTTTATATAGGAATATATAGAGAGGAAAAAAAAACCTTTAAAAATCTTCTACTCAAGAACGACAAAGCCATGTTTAGTCATATTGATATGGAAGCATCCTCGGGTAGTGTAGATTCAATTTTGTTCAAATCATGACCCCCGGGGGTAGGGTGGGGTCACAATGAAGGATCAAAGCTTTACATAGGAATATATAGAAAAAAAATCTTTCAAATCTTCTCAAGAACAGCAAAACTATGGTTGGTCATACATGTATTTATATGAAAGCATCTTCAGGTAGTTTAGAAGCATGTTTGTTCAAATTATCACGACCCTCAGGGTTGGAAGGGGTTACAATTTACAATCAACGTATTACACAAAAACACGTAGGAAAATTATTTAAAGATCTTCTCCTCAAGAACAGCAAAGCCATGATTGATCATATTTTTATGGAAGCATCATTAGGTAGTGTAGACTCAATTTTTTTTAAATCATGACCCCTGTAGGTAGGCGGGAGCCACTATAGGGGATCAACGTTAAACAAAGGAATAAATTAATTTTTTTTCTCTAGATCAGCAAAGCCATGATTAGTCATAATAATTCAGAAGCATCCTAAGGTGGTGTAGATTCAAATTCAAATCATATCCCTGGGGGTAGGGGAAGGCCTCAATAGAAGATCAAATGTCGGGATCACTTTTATATTTAATCATTTCTATACTGAATTGATTTCTGCTTTTTCCCAGCTAAAGTGCTCAGGTGAGCGATGTGGCCCATGGGACGTTTGTTTATAAAATAGATTTCACATTCATTTTTCCGTTATTTAAACGTTAATGTAGAATGAAGACTTGACCAATTTGGTTTCAAAAGTCATCTTTAATTTATGGCTCCTAAAAATGAAAGATGGGGATAACAAACAGTAATCAAGCTCAAAAGTCCATTGAAACAATACAAATAGGGAGCAGAACAAACTCGGAGCTCTAAAAACATCAGAGGTGGGATTAGGTGCCATGCAGAAGTAAGCATTCCCCTGTCGAGCGGTCACACTCGCCGTGTGCTCCTTGTCCTTGATCGAGAAAACGGAAAAATACGTAAACAATTCAGTGTGTAAATAGCCTGACAATCAGTATGAAAAACGCCAGTCAGCATTCAACTTAATGATAGACTGTATTTGATGACAAGGCCATTGTATATCGACCATAGAACCTGCAAAATGATGACTTTAAACGAGACTGTTGATAATCTTGTTTTATCAACTTGTTTGTCAAGGACTTGCCTCTTTTTAGAAATTGTTGGTATGTATAGCATGCCCTTGCGTATCGAATCAACTGGGAGACATAAGTCCATATGCAGGTGATAAGGGTATATTGCTACATAAGTAAGGGAAGTTTACGATATAGAAGTTTACGTCACCACGTTTATCATAAAGTTTTGTTGTTCATTAATGTCTTCTTGCAGTAAAATATCCAAATATGAAACAGATGTGTCAGTCTCTGTGGTATCTTTTATTTCAAATTTACTGGGATGTATCAAGTCGACATATAAATGGAAGTAACTATTGTTAAATGATGGTACGTCGTCGATATCTAAATACATGTATCGAATTGATTGATTGATTGTATGTTGTTTTACGTCTCATTCGAGAATTTTTCACTCAGATAGAGACGTCACCATATACCGGTAAAGGGCTTCAAATTTTGACCTTTGCTCGGCACTCAGAGCCATTGAGCAGTGAGGGATCTTTATCGTGCCAACGCCTGCCGCGGTTTTAAGGCCACATCCGAAGGACCTGCAACTTCCACTTCAAAGTGCCGAGCGCATGGCGAAGGAACAGTTGCTACCCATTTTTTTTATCGACTTAGGTTAGTCGCGGCCGAGATTCGAACTTCAAACTCCCGATCACGGAGCGAGCGCTCTACCGACTGAGCTACCGTGAACGGTATTGAAGGCCACAGCAAGTGTTTTCCTCTTCTCTTGTATAAGTTTTTGAATAAATTGTGCTTCATATGAATACAAAAATTGGGGTGCTTATAGTTCTCATGAGGATTCCGACAGATTTGGAAGACTTGATCTCAAAAACTACATAGATATTATCAATTAGAAACTTAAACATCTTTTTGATATCAACTTCAGAGTACTTGTGTGTACAATAAAAATGTATTTTAACAAAATAATGTTGCAAATGATCAATGATGTAGGTAAATTTACGAGTTCAAATTTTCATTGAAAAAGCAGCTGTCTATGGTGTCAAAAAGCCTGGACTTTAAGTTATCGTGAGGAATGGTTGTATTTTAAAGTGTTGAAAAGTCATTCGTTTTGATGTTATTGATTTTGTTAAAATCTTGTGATTTCAAATTTTCTGAAAGTTCCTTGGAGTTTTTAAGTATCCACATCTGATTTACACCACTTCTCGAGTATAATATTGTACAGTACTCCTGAAGTTTCTCCTTCACTGCTGTTATATTTTAGTGAGGACTAAAGAAAGATTTACTGGAATCCGCTATATATCTTTGTTTGCAAGGATTTTTACGAAGTTTATGAATCATGTACATGTATAGGTATTGTAATTCAAATTCATTTTGACTGTTGGGAATATCAAAAATATTTAAAACTGACATATGATTTTGAAGAATTTCCTCCTTAGAAAGTGTGTGTAAGTTGGATTACCACTTGCAGAATTAAATCCCAGTTCCTCTAAAATACAATTTAAAAAATGAGCCTTAGTAAAGACAATGTTGTCACCTGCTTTGTCAGCCGGGAGCAGTACAAACTGATCGTGTACATGACTGTGATCTATCTAATTCTTTTTTGACCTCTGAAATATTGAAGACAGAAGGATAGATGGTTATCATATTGCCCCTCAATCGCTTAATGTGAGATTTCAACATCCATCTGATACTTTTAAACCATTCTGACAAAGTGTCGCTTGAGGTCTTTTTTTATGTTTGGCCCATCGCCTGGTGTAATCTTCCACAAAATTCATAATATTTATGAAATTATGTCGCCAGTTGAAATATCAGGGTTCCCTAAATTTTCGCCCTTTATAATAAGTGATTTAAGGTCCTCATTATTAACTATATTTACGTCACCACTAATGACGTGTCTAGCAGGACTATAGTTGGAGGATTGTGTTTCAGATGTTCGATACCTAGACGAGCCAAACCCTTACATACGGGTATCACTGTCTTATGACAGCATCTAGTCATTAAATTTTTTCCTGGTTGTTTTGAAAAAAGATGGGCTATTGAAGTATATACGTATTCAAATAAACTGAATTATTTTGATAAAATAATTCGTACTAGAAATATCAATTTCAGAACTCATTGCCTTGAATTTAATGGGCTATTCAAATGGACTGATTAATATTTTGATTAAGGACTTAAAAGAACAAAAATCTTTTTTTCAATTTTTTAAAGCCATGACTGAAAAACCACAGTAGATTAGTCACTGTCCTGATAGGGAAGTGATTGGGCTGTGTCTATTTAATAAACTTTCTTTTTCTGAGAAGTCCAGAAAATTTACAAGATGTGGAAGGGGAGGGGTGAATTGGAGATGGGGATTGAGAAAGACACGCAGGCAGAAGGTAGGTAGTAGGAAGAAGAAAGGAAATACAGAGAAAGTGGGAGAAGCCCCCCCCCCCTTCCCCACACACATATAGACATAAATAAGTAAAAGTATTAAGGCTATCTTTAAAAAAATGTTTGGTTGCCCTCTCCCAACCGACTGGCTAAAATGGCCCGACTCAAAACTATTTAGACTTCCATGAAATTTTTTTTATATATTCCGGTCAATAGATTTTTAAAAATTAGCATTGAAATTGAAATTTTCTGAGAAAATTTCTCAACTACCTATACCTACCTAATTTTTTAATCCTGAGTCGGGAGAGGGCAAACAAACATTATTTTAAAGTTTGCCTAATATATAAATTCACAAATCTGATTTAGTAACAGATTTAACTGGTGTCCTTTTCATTTGATTTTTTAAAGAAACTGCTTCATAATCAATGATGACATATTTATTAGACCCTGCATGAAAATTACCGTTACCATACCTTGTCCTTTCATATACAGTGTGTCGATGCAGAATGGTCAGAGGAGACCACGTCGGGGGCCACTTCGTCAATTTCAAATTAAAGGTCAAGGATTGAGATTATTAATAAATAGTCACTCACTATTTCGATGCAATTATTGACTTTCCATTGATACTTTTACTCTACGTCCAGTAAATAAAAGAATCTTACAGAATGACATAATTGAGTTGCATGTTGACAGAATTATCTTGCATATATCAACATAAATAACTTAATATTTTTAAAACAACTATGAAGCAGAGCATTTACAGAATGTGATTTTTTTAAGTTAAATTTTTATGGTTTCTGTGACATTTCTCCTTTTTTTTTTTCTTTTTTTCTAACAAATGTTTGTTCAGTTCCTTGAGTTAAAATGCACACAAATAGCGTTTTAAATCGTGGAGCGATAACCCAGAGATAGCAAACTTATAGAAAAACCTCTGTTAAAATGTACCATTTTGTATTAAATGACTCATATAGTGATATTTCAAGGCAGATTTTATCAAATCAAAAAACAATATTATTGGCTAACAGGGTCATAATATCGGCCATAGAAATCCCTTTTCATCTAGCCAGTAAAACATCCAAATATGAAACAGATGTGACGGACTCTGTGGTGTCTTTTAGTTTGAGTTCACTGAGATATATCGAGTTGAAATATGAAATTTCACTATTGAAGTGCACCCAGATCCCTGCCGAATTCAATTCAGAAGATCCCTCATTCTCTCCGAAATTCTCTTTAGGCCGATACCATATCCACGATATTATTCAAAGGATTTCGTGGAAAACTTTTAAATAAGATATGCTTTTCGAAAATAAAACAAAATAATTTTTTCTCATACAAAATTTAATGAAATGCTAAGAAAACATGAAAATATAAGAAATATAAGAAATGTTTTTATAGAATAGATAAGATACACTTTGAATTAGCATGCTCTACATGCAATATAATACATGTATACTATGCATACTTTCTTTGTAAGACTGATTTTTGCATCAAGTTATGTCACTGCTGAGACTGGATATATCACGGATTCTTTTAAATATTATGTGACTATTTTGTACTAATGAAATATCATATTTTGGGTGTTAAAACTCTCCTTAAAATTAACCCCCCCCCCCAAAAAAAAAATTCCATTGAGTAAATGTGTGCTTCATTGTTTTAAAATCCATATTGTGTATGTGGCGATGATGGCTCATATTATTATGTGTTACGCTTCTTCCCTTTAGAAAGAAAAGATTGTGCTTCGATCTTCGCATAGAGAATTATTTTTTATATGCAAAAAATCCATTCTTTTTTCAGTCTAAGTTTATCTACTGATTTATCAAAATTTAAAAATAAACTTTGGTTCTTTTACAAGCAATTCTTTCAAACTACTGTAACTTTAATATACACATGTGCCTGAAATTGGATTTAATAACTATACTCCATTATCTTATAGTGTTTATCATTCATGTGAAGAGTTACCATGTTAACGTAACTATTAAGATAAGCAGACTTAAATATTACAATTTGACAAGGTATTTCAAACTAAATGCAACATTTTCCTATGTGCGTAACTTTGTAAAGTCTGTCAACAGTAGTCAGCCAACCAAATCGTGGACACTTAAGCTATAAATGTTTCGTACATATGATTCCTGCGCATCATATGCACGCCAAATATGCCCATCTTCGTTTGAGATATGGGTAAAATAATGACAATTTTCAGCCTGAAAACAAAGTTAATTTTACGTTAATACGATATCTGTAAATGTCCTTCCACCAAAGAAAATAATTCCTCATTTAAGGGCACTTTTTAAATGAATGTTGTACAATTTGCGTTTATTTTAAACTCAAATATGTTATAAAAATTAAAATTTGATGGATACCATTGATGTTAGAGGTTCTGACCAAATTTTTCTCAAGAGCAGACGAGTGACATGCCTTAATTATTATGAGGGTGCATCATTTTGACCAAAGACAATAAGAAATGCAACCGTATTAAGAGATACGACAAGAGTATAGAGAATAGTGAAGAATCTATCCAATATATAGGCCAGCAACTCCCACTCATTCATCTTCTTGTTGGAGTTGTCGATTTCCGTGAAGCCGATGCTGTTAGGGTCTCGACGCCGTACTTCCCCTACCTCGGTCTCCCAACCATCATAGACAGCGTTCTGTATGCCACTTAGAGCTGTTGGTTTTACAATCTTCCTACTCTTTTTGGCTTTAGGGGTTTTCATAATCACGAGGTTTTTTTCTGCTGGTTCTTTTCCAGAAGTTTGTTGAGCTCTGAAGCGTATAACAGTGTCTTCTGTGATGAACATCAGTCGACCCAGTCCAACAACCAGAACTCTTTTGACCCATTTAGGCATCTGTTTGCCACTGAGATCATGGTAGAAAAGATACACAACGATTACTGACAACACACAGGACAAGCAAATTATTAGGAGGGTATTGATAAAGTATATTCCGATTTTTGGAAAGAATTCAGATGATGATGGTAGTGAATCCTGAATCAGGAGCAAATAGACTGTCATTGCCAAAAGGATGTTCATGTGGAATGACATCTTTTCTCCAGAGATGGATGGCAAAACGAATCCAGCAATGGATAATACAGTGAGCGCAAAGAAAGGTAAAATCATTGTGATTATGTAGAAGGTGGCCTTGCGTTTTATCACCAATTTATAGGAAATGCTAGAGAAAGGTTCCTCACAGCATGTGTATAACTCTGTCATCTTAGTTGCTTTTAGACTAACGACTACCCACTCCTGGTGATTGACAAAGGAAGTGAGATCTCCAGTATCGGATTTACTGAACATTTCTATTTCGCTGTTTGAGTGTATCCATGAACCAAATGTCAAAGTACACATTTGATAATCGTATGGAAACATAGAAATATTCATTCCACATGTCATTTGAATAGCCGTAGGAAACTGATATTGAATTTGTCCTATGTTTGTAATCAACGCTCTGTATTGCTTCATGTCTGGCATGTTCGCAACATCATTAATACCTTCAAATAAAGTCACATCTGGGATCCAGAGTTTTTCATATGGGACTCCTATCTGTGAAATTCCACCAAATTCAGAGACATTCCACACGAAGTTACAGTCTTTCCATTGAAGTCTGACCCAAATCTTCAGTTTAATGGTCTCATGTTTTTCTGATAAATCCACAATTTCACGGAGCCCTACGTCAATTGTGACATTAACAGCTTTTTTACTGCAGTAAGGGTGAATATCTGGTGTGTAGTTACCTTTGAATAAAGAACTGTATAAAACTGAAGCAAAATTATCACTGGAAATAACCACGGGTGATAAATTGAAGAAGCTGAAAGTGATCAGTATACTATTTGACGACATTGTTGGTTCGAAGCGGTTGTAAACATGCATAACCCGAATGAAGGTGTGAATTTTTAAAGATAACTTCTTTTAGGTTTCGCACTTTCACAAATTGTTCGTGATTACATCATTTAAGAATGGACGATCTCGTGGTATTGCTGAAAGGTTACTAGTATAACCTGTATATTTTTGATACAGGAAATTAGTGTTTTTATTTTCATTTTGAAATTAAATAGTTTTTGAATTAAATACTTCCCATCTATTTATGATAAGGAAAGTTTTTGTTCTTTTTACTAAAGTAACATTGATTAAATTTCTTAATGTCACTGGATATTTATTTTATCTTCTATCTAGTGAAAAAAAATTATCATGTTTATACAAACTGTTATTTGACAACCCTGGCTTCATTTACATTGCTTATGAAGAGTTAGAGGTGTTGGAATTCTCTCGATAACCTTGAAATTGTTATATTTTCAAGAAAAATCTTTTTGAGAAAAAAATCCCAAACACACTTAATGTTAATTATTTAAGGCAAATCTATATAGTACGGAAGCCCAATAGTGCAAACCAAAACTAAATAAAAAACGAAATGGTTAATTAAAAAACGAAATTATTAAACAAAAAACGAAATTATTAAATAAAAACAAATTATTAAATAAAAAAACTGAAACTAAAATACGGAATTTAGATGTGCATGGTAAGGGCATTCCATAAAGCACACGTGTTAATTCTGTTTCGACATTAAAACAAGTGGGATAATATTTGTATTTACACTCATCTATTCCATTATCGATAACATAATCAGATTCAATTTCAATAGACAAGAAAAAGTTAAGAAAACCATGAAACTAGGCTGAGAAATCAGACTTTGATAATTTTCCAGAGCAGATGTTACACAAAGTTCATTCTGCATTTTCACCATAATCAGAATTAATTCTGAACTATTTATTAATTTACAATGTTTGTTTAATACATGTACTATAATTTGATGGACAACCCAATTCGTAGTGCAGAACGGTTATTTAGTATCATTAAAGAATTACAGGACAGTCTACGTACAGACATGGTGTTTTAACAGTCATAAACACTTCACAAATCCGCTTGGCACAGTGGTTAGAGCGTTTGCTCTAGAGTTGCGATTTAAGGATTTAATCCTTACCTCGCGGGTTCGAATCTTCTGTGGGACGTGAAGGCCGGTCCTTCGGATGAGACCGTATAAACCGAGGTTCCGTGTCGCAGTAGGTGCTGGCTCAAAAAAGATCCATCACTGCTCAATGGCCCTAAGTGCCAAGTATAGGTCAAAATTTGCAGCCCTCCACTAATAGAGTTGGCCTGGCAATGATCTCGTTTCACTAGTACCGAAAATGCAAATGCACAAAAATACAAGAATAAAAAAACTAATCAATCATCTGCTGTTTCATCAATCTCTAATGGCCCATTTCGAAAAATTGGAGTTAGAGGGTATTGTGCTTAGTGTTTCATATGATGCATATACATTAACGTTAAAGGGATGTGAGAGGGCGATGCTTATTTAATAACGCTTTTCAGAGAAGTCCAGCAAATTTATAAAATATTGGGACGTACATGGAGGGTGGGGATAAGGAAAGGGAGGAGAAAGCAGAAGAAGAAAGGAAATGGGAAAAAGGTGAGTGATAAAGCGGAAGAAGTGGGGGAGAAATCACACACAAACCCTATACAAACACATATAATATCAATGCACAAAACACCAGTCTGGTTTGGTAAGAGATTTAACGTTTGTCATTTTCATTTGTTCTTCTAAAGAAACTAATTTTAATATATTTGATACCAGCACAAGCCACATGTTTGTGTCCATTCTACTTCCACAAACCCAATTTATGAAAGTATCAGGGTTCGCTTTTTTTGCTGTCTGTCTATCTCTCAGCACTTTTATGTGATATGATAATTCAAGTACTTTCCATATATAAAATTCATGTTTGAAAAGGTGGTAAAAACTTTGAAGACACCAATGTTTTTTGTTTTTTTTTTTCGGGGTAATTTGGCCAGAGAGAAAGGACAAAATTCAAACTTGTTACCATTATTAAAAGCCGTTAATTTAATAGGGTATTTTTTTTATCTATCAAACTCCATACATGCCATATAGGTAGAGAATGGTTAGAGAAGACATCTATTTTCTTTCTTTTTTTTTTTTACACTTGTTATAGGTTCAAGGTAAAAGTTATGCAATAAATGACCTAAATTTTTCATCTGTAGAGGAGAGATTAAGAATTTTTTATGTAAAGTATTTATAGTTTTTAGGATCACAAGAATAAAGTTAGATATCATTTATATGATGTAGCGCTGTAATAACTTGGACATTTGTAAATCATAGAACATGTATAGAGATGGAGAACGGTTGGAGGTTATCGATAGATTTTGGGAATGCTTTATCAAAGTTCAATTGTTAAGATGATCGTATTGCAATATCTACCGGTTTTAGAACAATTTGGTCAACGGTCAAGTTCAAAAATCAGGATTGTATAAAAGAACAGTGTGGTGTAATAACAAGGATATTTCTAAATATTCTGATGTTTCTGATAGTCTTATCTTAGATAAGTAAAAAATGGTTAAGAGAATCAATCTTTAGAACAAAGGTCAAAACTGAAGAGTCAGGACTAATGTTATACAAAGATTCACATTTCATATGTGAATATTTGACGGTTATATATTTTCTCTCTATCTTACAACATATTTAATATAATTTTTTTTCTAGATCTGCTCGTGCACATGCACTCTCGAATCATCATAGATAGAGGGAATTATGAAGTTGTAAATACAAACTATCGTTGGTCGTATTTTGTCTGAAATGTTTCGAACCTTTGTTTTTATATTAAATTGGACTACGGAGAACCTCGTAGACCTGATCAGTATTTAGGGCTCACGGCGGGTGTGACCGGTCAATAAGGGATTCTTTCTCCTCCTAGTCACATGATCCCATCTCTGGTGTTTCTAGGAGTCCACATGGTTTTGCCCTGTTCACGATTCTTTATGTTTGAGATTGATCACTATTCGTTACCTTCACCTTTTACATTTATGAGATTTGAAGCACATTGCCAATATAAGGTAACATAATACAGTGCATTAATGTTACTTTCCGTGTGCAGGTAAGTTGAGATTTTGAAACCAAGTTTTGATAAAAACTTTACACAGCTTTTAAATAGAAAACTGTTATTTTTCCAACTCATAAAAAAGTAACATACACCCAAATAAGCATTTAATTTACACTTCCACAATTCTAGTTCTCTCATATTTCCAATAATATTCAAATTTCTCGGATACTAAAATGAAAGCTATTCGAAAATGAAACAAGATAACATTCATATTTAACGTTGAGGAAGCAAAAAAGTGCATAAATTCATCCAGCGTAATCTATTATTTACGAACACTTTCAAGAGCTTTCTTTTCTAAGTCCACTTAAACGTTAAGGAAGAACAACAAGAGGTTCAAGGACATTAATGGTCACCTGAGTATAATACAACAATTTAGAGAATCCAAGAGCATAAAATAAACTGTCTAGTAATTAGCCTAGTATTCAGTAACAACTCATAAATTAAGTTTTAATCTGTCCCCCATTTATCAATATCATTATGCAGACTATTAACAAACTATTAGAGTTTCTGTACTATTTTAGCTACTATTATAAACTCTCACATTGGCCTCTTTTGGTCTTGAAGAAAATTTGATCTAATTAGATAAGTTATTTTTGTCCCTTTTTATTTATCTATTATTTACAAATCTACATGATCATTAAAACTATGAAAGTACTTTTTGTATTATACAATAAAAATTCTTGCATTATTCTCTTATTCTTAACCTTTCAAATACATTCAATTACAGTGATTAAATATCAAAAGTGAATATTAAAGGGGATTAACTTCTTGTAGCAGAAAACAAATTAAAAGAGCCCTGGTCAGGACCAGAATACTTGACCAAAAATGTTCAAAAATCTGGTAAAGATACCCTTGCTTATTAAAACTTTTACTCTGTTTGCTTCCAATATGCCAAAGAGCAAAGAAAATTTTCAAAGAAATAATGCATTTTCACTACAGATTCAACATAGTCCAACCGTAATACCAGAACCAATGACCCAGGGTCATGATATTCACAAATAAGGAAGAGGTACCCTCATCATCATAACTATGCACTTAGTTGAAGATTTTCAAAGAATCAACACATTTTCAATATGTTTTCAATACCCCCCCCCTCCCCCGAAAAACAACAGAACTCATGGTTTTGTAAGAAGCACCCTTTTGTTCATCATAGCTATTCACTTTATTTATCTGCTCAACACTAAGGAGCAGATAGGATTATTTAATAGTATTAAGCATTTTCACTATATTATCAATAGAGCGCAACCCTATACCAGAACATTTGACCCAGGGGACATGAAACTCACAATTCTGTAAGAAACACTCTTGCTCATCATAGCTATACACTGTTTCTTTGCTTTTTAACTAGGAGCAGATAATAATATTTTCAAAGAAATTATGTTTCTCACTACATAATCAATAGAGTCCCCCTTTCACCAGAACCACCGATCCTAGGGCAATGAAATTAAAAATTTTGGAAGAGGCATTCTTTTTTATCATAACTATGAACTCAGTTTGTTTAATTTATACTCAGGAGCAGAGAAGAAGATTTTCAAAGAATTAATGTATTTTCATTATATAATCAATAAAGCCCTTACACCAGAACCCCTGACCCAGGGGCCATAAAAATTCACAATCTGGGAAGAACCACCCTTGCTTATTATAACCCTGGATTTAGTTGGTTTGTTTAAAACACAGGAACAGAAAAGAAAATTTTCAAAGAATTAATACATTTTCACTATAGAATCAATAGAGTCCCACCTTAACACCAGAAACCCTGGCCCAGACGCCATGAAATTTACAATTTAGGAAGAAGCATCCTTGTTCATCATGATTACATACTTCGTACGTTTAATACCCAGGAAAAAAGAAGATTGTCAAAGAAATAATGCACTTTTACTATATGATCTATTA